CTCGCCCCAGCCCACTGCCCACCAGCACAGGGCTGCTCTCATCTGCTCTGTGCCCGGCCTGCCCTTGTGGAGAGCCACTCAGTGAACCAGCCACATGAAGACCAGGACCAAGACACCTGCGCCAGAAATGGCAGCTCCTTCCCTGCAGGAAGGCGGGTCCCTGCGCTATGGAACTCGGGCCAGTCCCGGAAGCTTGGCTTAGCAGCTGTGTGACCTTGGCTATCCTGCTTTACCTCTCTGTGCCTGGTTTCCTCACTACCTGCGTCCCCGGGGACTCTCTGGCGATCAGGTTGGAAAATCTAAGGAGACGCCTCGCCTCCAGGAAAGTGTAAGAAGAGACAGCTGCCAGCTGGGGACTTCTTGTTCCCTCTCCTTTCCATCCCGGCCCCAGCTGCTGCCCTGCAGGCGGTCAGCTGGGTGTCTCCCTCCAGCACCGACCGGGGGCCGCTTACTCTGCTCAGCAGCTACCAGCTCCTTCTCCCCCAGCTCCTTCTTCCCTGAGCAGTGAAGTCCGGCTCCAGCATCTGGCAACAGCGTGAGGCTCCACAGAGGTGCCTCCAGCGAGTGGCCAAGGTGCAGGCTGAACCATCATGGCTTACGGCCAGACGAATTAAATGGAACATAAACCTCTCCAGAGAAACCCTTCTGCACCCCACTTAGTGCTCTGACCTCCAGGGAGTTGAAAGGAAGGTGCTGGAAGTCACCTTCTGAATAATTAGCCATTCGCTGAGCCAGATGCGCTCATAAATTTCTCACCTCATTGGATTTCCAGCCACCGTGGCAAGTTGGTGCTAATGTTCCCATTCTGTTTAAAAGGGAGCCGGAGCCCACCCCAGGCCCCCCAGCCCGCGTGACAGCACCCAGCGCCATCTCTCGCTCTCGTCTGAGTCTGGCATCAGCGCGTTATGTCGGGTTTCACTGCCTGCATCGCAGGCACGTGCCCATGGCCCGAGGGTTAAACAGCCGCCAGGACACACACGCACAGAGGGCGCCAGCACCTGCCCACTGTGTGTCCCCCAGTGCAGACCCTGCTGGGATGGCGCCGACTTTCTGGGCCCCCAGGGCGTCTCTGAACACTCTGGAAAAACACCCAGGCCCGTTTCTACACGAAACCGGAGCTACGCGGCCCAGGCTGTGGTTTTGGCTTAGTGTATTCCGGAGGGCCCTTGTCTGCAGCCAGAGGAAGTCCTCATTCTACAGCTGGGTGTACCAGTGCACCCCACTCACCCCAAGCCCCCCAGGGTGAGCCTTCGGAGGTCAGGACCCCAGCCCCAGGCCCCCCAGCATCAAGGCTGTGGCGGGATTTGTCAACACAATGTCCTCTGGGAGCTGAGACTCCACCGTCAGGCAGGCGCCCGGCCGCGGGGGCCTCCTGTGGGTGGGTCCGCCCACAGCCTGAGCCCGCACAACCTCGGGAGCCATGGGCCATCTCACGTGGGTCCCAGCGCAGCTGACAGTAAAGAGAAGGAGAAGGAAGAACGTTGAGTCCCAGCCCGTGTCAGAGACGCGCACCCTGGCCCCAGCGGGGTGCACAGGCTTTGGGGGCCTTTGGTATCAGATCTGTGCTCCTGCCAGGGGTACGCACAGAGGCCCTGTCACACCAGCAGGACTGCGGGGACGGAGGGACAGGGGTCCCAGGTCAGGCTCTGTCACTACCCCACAGGCGACTTGGGGCCGTGACGTCACCCAGCTGAGACTGTGTCCTCGGCGCTGAGCTAGGGGCGCAGTCCCCTGGCAGGGCTGTGGGGGGACCAAGCACCAGTGTCCTGGCTGTCACGGGCAGTCGCTGAGACGGGGCGGCTTGAGTGGCAGTCGGCGGGAAAGCAGAGCCCTTACCTGCTCTCCCGGGACGCCTGGCTTCCCGTCTCGGCCCTCTTTGCCCTCTTCTCCCTGCCAGAGAAAGAGCACTGAAGGGCGGGCTGGAGGGCGGGAGCAGATAGCCCAGCACCTCCGGCCGCACGCACCCCGCATGCGCCCCGCACGCACGGGACTGGCGCTCTGGCCCACCGAGGCTTTGGCTCGGGCCTCAGACCCACCACGCCTGTCACAGAGAGGAAGACCAGGACTGGCAGGAGCTGCGCTGTTTGCTTCTGACCGGCAGGCACCTTCCAGCCCCGCCTGTGCCAACGCGGAGGACACGCTGCGTGTCTGGGCCCCGGGACGGAGCCAGCGTCCCGCCTGCGGGGGCAGGCTTGGTGCCCTGGACCAGGGGCACAGACGGGGTGAGACCGTGGGGTGACTGCGGCAAGGTTTATCTCGGTTTTGATGTGCCCTTTTCCTCCCAAAGCGGCCTGGCCACTTCTGACCCTTTTCTGTGGGACCCACTAGAAGGTGCTTTAGACTGTGGCGGCTCTCAACCTGGCATGGGCCCGTCCGTTTTGGGTGGACTTTACCCGCGAGGGGACGGGTGACGTGGGTGATTTAGAAACAATATCCTTTGCCTTTTCTGTACTGCACACTGGTTGCATTTAAGTTCCTTTCCATGAAAGGTCTTGTTTTATCTTGATGCAGCAGGTGGAAGAACTTATTTTGAGTGGGCAGGTTTGGGGGTGCTCTCCCTGTCCTATAACAAAGTTGCAGAGCTGAGGGCCAGAGCACAGACCTGGGAGTACTCAGCGGATGGCAGCAGGGGTGAGGATGCGCAGGGGACGTGTAGCTGCATTCCCTGAGACGCCCCCAGGCCCAAATCCATCAGTGAGACGGGCAGAGGTCACCAGCCAGACCAGCAGACAGGGTAAGATTACCGGCTGAGACAGGCGATCACCGGAGGGGTCAGAGGAGACAGCGGGGCCGTGAGGCCCGGGTGGGTGGGGAGGCTCCAGGCATTAACAGAAGGAGCGTGACAGGGGACAGAGAGAAACGCAAAGGCCCCGGGGCCTGGAGAGGACCGAGCGGGCCGGACAGCGCACAGTGTACCCGGTGCAGCAAGTCATACGAAGACACTCAGGGGCCGGCGCGGGGGGCTGTGGGCAGCAGAGGCGCCGGCGGGGGTGCCAGCCACGGAGGACCCCTTCTGCCCGCAGCAGACCGCCGCTCCGGCTGGCCCAGGCCTAACACTCGCCCACCCCTGCAGGTGTGTTAGCAGCAGGCCAGGCGTGCGAGGATGCAGAGGCAGCCTGTATCCAGATCTTGAACACGGTCACACCCCAACAAGTGAACCTACTTCTGGGGTCCATCATGTGGCACTGAGGAAAGCGCTATGCGTGTGGAATCAATCATCTGTTAGTAAGTTTTTAAAATAAGCGTAAGCTCGGCGAGTCAGGGGCGAGTGTGGGTCTCACGGGACAAGTATCGGGCAGCGTGTAGCTGATGTTTGACACTGGCGTGGAAACAGAAAACGTGTGTGTTCATCACAGGTGGTTCATTCCCGCGGCGTGTCATCATCTCAACAGCATGGACACGTGTGTGTGTCACACACATGCAAATGTGTATGCATGCACGTATCATATGTGTGTGTGCATGAGGAAGAGACAGGGAGAAGGATGAAAACACAAATTAAATGAGTAAACAGAGCGAGACGAGGACGCTCTCCACCAAACGAGCAGCTTTCACAGATGAGGGGGCTGGTGCTGCTTCTCCTTCTCACTTTCTCTGTCGTCAAATTCCCTCGTGACCGTGCCTGCCTTTGACAAGGCGAGCCAGACTTCTGTTTGCTTATTTTTGTAATAATGAAAGCAGATTTCTTAAATGCCACTTACTGGGATTCCAGGTAATCCAGGTGGGCCTTGGGGGCCGGGAGGACCTTCTTTCCCCTAAAGGATCCGAGACATAAAAAGGCATTAAACGGGGCCCTCCCTGGTGGCGCAGCGGGTTAAAGCACAGCACTAAGAAGCTGAAACCACTTCCACATGAGTTCGATTCCCGCCTGCCCTGGAGGTGACCACGTGGCGCGGCAGACCTCTCCTGGCCCGCCCACTGCTCCCCTCAGCAGCGGACTTCGTAGATCTGCCTGTTCTGCTCCCCACTCTGTCTCTGCTGAAGTCTTTCGCCACCCCTGAGTCTCTGGCCTGTACCCCAATTCTGTATGCACAAATAAATCTTAAAAAAAAAAAAAAGGCATTAAACGTCTGGGCTGGCTTTCCTGAAGGTGGACGGCCTTGTCCGCTGTGGCCAGGCTGGGCAGCTTTGAAGAGAAGCGGCCGCCCGCTCCCAAGGTACCCAGCTGGCCGAGTGCAGGCACAGGGCCGTGCACAGGGCCATCACACAGACTCAGGGGAGCTGCGTGTCGGAGGCCCAGCAGGAAGGAAACCACGATGCTCTGGACCCGAGACTGTGCCCAAACCCATCTCTGTCACTCAGTGGCCAGGGGCCTGGGGGGGGGGGTTCTTCCGGCCATCATCATGTGCCAGGGGTCATAGGCTTTTTACCGCCACCCCATGAAATAGGCCGTGGGTTTCGAAAGACCATATTATGGTTCCCAAATTGCATTAATTAACAGTTAATTTCCCACTTTATTCGGCAAAGCTGCTCATCAGTGTCCCAGGGTTTCCAAACCAGCATGTCATCGGCTCCCGCCTGCCTATCCCCTGGAGCAGTTTTGTTTCATCCTGCATCTCCATGTGAATTTCAGAGGCCTGACAACTTGATTATCTCCTGCCAGTGGCTGTTCCGAGCTAAGATGCTCAAGACCAGATTTTATATTCCAATCCACATGTCCCACAAAAGGAGAGATTTTTAAGGGATGTGATTTTAACCTCTTGAAAGAGAGGCAAAAGGAAACATATTTTGATACTTATTCCAGATTGACTCAGAAGTTACAGGTTGCTGTATATGAAGTCAGGGGGCCTGAACAGTTCCTCGCAAATGCAAAATAGAGTCAGTAATTGAGTTTTATTTGCAGACCTGAACAAGACAGAAGGCATCGGCAACGCATCATCATTAGACTTCACGGGCTTTTTGATACAGCCCCTTGGGAACTAACGAAGAATGAAGCTGTTTTAAGTTCATAAATGGTGCGCTCAACCTCACCTCAAAAGCATCTGCACTCTCATGCTCACCGTGAGAGGGTACCTTCATTTTTCAAGTGTCATGGGGATGCGCTGACATTCACAACAATTTGATGCAGAGGCACTGTGTGTCTCGGGATGTCCGGGATGGCAGGACATATTGCCACATTGATCAGTGCCAAACAATAGCGATGAGAAAACAAAATAGCCACCCTTTCCCACATAACAGCGTCTACACCATGTGGATGCAGGAAGTGGGCATTTTTCTGCCAACCTGGGACAAATACTCCCTCAGCATCAGGGAGATTTAGATATTAATAGTGGGGCTCCCTGAATTCCTTCCTGGGTGCTCAGTGTGTAAACACTGGCACTCTTAGACAGGAGGCAGCACAGTCTGACTGTCTGCCTGGCTTGGTAAATAAAGTGCCATCAGAACGTCATCACCCTCGTCAGCTCACAGATCGCCTATGGCTGGTTTCATCTACTGCAGCAGGACTGAATCGCTGCCAGAGACCATATGGCCAACAAGACCCAAATATTTTCTACTTAGCTCATTTTTGCTCCCATCAGGTGAGCAGAAGACATGACAGGCTTCAGCAGGCCCACTCAGCACCTGCCCACACCAGTCATAACGTGCAGTTTAATTACTCACCAGCCCACCCCAGGAAACTGAGGTGGGAAAAGAAAATGATGGTGTTCTATGCAAGTTAGGTTAGCATTTCAGAAATATTTGATGGAGATGAACCACTCACTATCTAAATAGATAACCGTAAGACAAGATGACTATAAAAGGTCAACTAAACACACTAACAATCTAATAATCTACATTCATATTGCTTCACAGGTGTTATTTTCTCAAATCATGTTTTAAGAAGCTATAAATACAGGCCCTGCCTGGCGGCGCAGCGGGTTAGAGCACAGCACCAAGAAACTAAAGCCACTTTAGCACAAGTTCGATCCCCGCTACTGAGGGTGGCCTTTCCTGGCCCACCTGCTGCTCCCCTCAGCAGTGCACTTCATTGATCTGCCTGTCTGCTCCCCACTCTGTCTCTGGTAAGTCCTCACACACCCCCTTGCACTTCTGTCCTGTACCCCAGTTCTGTATGCATAAATAAATCTTTAAAAAAAAAAAAAAGGTACAAATACTAGAGGGTGGACATTCTTGTTGTAGGAATAACCAGGGGTTCTATTCAGGGAACATGGGGCCAGTGAGAGGCCTTCACTTTGCGTCAAAGAGATTAAGCAGTTTCCAGTTATTAATTCCAAATACAATGGGAATGTTTTAGGTTTTGTGTCTATTACTGTGCTCCATTTAACATTTTTATTACTGTTTTTTACTGTCAACACTCATTGTTTATGCTAAGAAAATGTTGACTATATTTTGATTTGAACTTGAAGCATCAGGACCATGGACAGCCCCAAGCACAGCAATAACTAGCCAGCACAGCATCAAGGCCAAATTAAAAAGGTTTAATTCCTAGGATTGTAAAGATTTACATCTGGGCCCCACATCTCACTCCCTTTGGGCAAAGAGTCCATTAGTTTTTATTGAAGAATTTTTTTTTCCATCTGAGAATCAATAAAAACATGCCTGCAGTGTATTTTCTATTTTATTCGTCTGGGACACTAGGTGGCTTGCTTCAAAAGGATTGGCCAGATGATGATGGAAAAGAACTAAGGAGCTGTTGCTTTTCAACTCCAACAGCTCTCCAGCTCCAGCCCCAACCGTCCCACAGAGTGAGTCGGTGTAGAGAACTATACCATTGAACTGGGAGTTTGCAATTGACTTAACTCCCATTTTAAATATTAATTTTCTGTACGGCCTTGAACAGGTGACCTAACCCCAGCACATGAGGCTTCCTCTTCCTCATCCCAGAGAAGGAGTTGACCTAAAGGGTCCTAAGCTCGCTCAGGGCTAGTGTCTGCTCGCACCAGGGTTAACCTGCTTGCAGCCAGACTTGGGGTATGGAGCTGAGGCCCTGCAGACCGGGGTCGTATCTGGCTAAGGCTTCTCACCATGTGCTCCTAACCTGGAACGTCACGTCTCTGATCCCCACTTTCCCTGCAGGTGATGACTCAGGGCCTTTCTGACTCACAGGGCGGTCAGTGGTAAGACACACAGTTAAATGAACGCCACTCAGCGGATCTTGGCCTGAGCTGGGAACGGAGCCGTCCTGGTGGAAAGTGCTGAAACCAAATGGCCTCTGGCAACTTCCTGCAGTGGCTGTATTCCAGGTCTTGAGATGAAACCCCTGGGCTCAAATGTAGCTGCAGGTGCAGGCCCTTGGCCCCCGGCTTCACGTCGCTTGGCCTCCCTGTCCCTTTCTGAACACGTGGTCAGCAGTGGCTACCTCCACCTCCCGCCACCCGGCCCACGCTCGGTGGCTGAGCACCAAGCCCGTGCTCCCCTGTGCCTGCTCAGAACAGAAACCAGCCTGACCAGGCCCCGGGAGGTGCAGCTCAGCCTGGAGTCCACAGAGTTGTTGAAGCTGCATTCTAGAATAACAGGTGGCCAGGTGACTTCATCCAAACCTCGAGTTAGGAGCAATCAGGGCCCTCCCATACAATGATCTTCCCCGCGACTTCACTGCAAGGCCAGGGACTGGACCCTCCCACAAGCGATCCGCGGGAGCGGGGTTCACACCGGGGCTCTGGGACCGTGTAACCACAGCCTGAAGGCAGGACTTACCGGTGCTCCCTGGGTTCCTGGTGGCCCCCCAGCGCCTGCTGCCCCAGCCACACCCTGTGGAGGACAAAGAGCATTGCCGATCTCCAGTCGTGCATGAAACTCCACGGGCCTGCGTCCCGTGCCCTGCCCAGCTGCCTGGACTGGAAGCATCTTTCAGATGCTTGGGACTCCCCTCAGCCTGGGCTGGCCTCTGGGGATCAAGGGTGGGAAGGCCAGCGGCCACCTCTCGGAAGGCCCAGGGCATCCCCAGCCAGATGTCCCTAAGGCCGGGGAGCTGCTCTCGTGTCCCTGTGAGGTCAGCAGTGCCAGGGACGTGCCATCTCTCTTGCAGGGAGCTGAGGAAGGCGGCTGCTCTGTCCCTCGGCCACAGCGGCACCTGTCTCACTGGGCTCGCGACAGCCGGGGCCCGTGGGGACGGGTTCTCATGAAGGGCCCCGCGTCCGCAGGGCTGCGCTGGCAGCTCCCTGTGCGTCAGCGGACAGCGAGGCGGCAAATACGGGCTCCACCGACGCGGCTCGTCACGCTGTCCGGGCCGCTGGTCAGCTGTCTGCTGACCAAGGGCCCATGTTAGGCCGGGCACTGGCCGGGTCTCAGAGACTCAGAAAGGGCAGCACCGTGGCCTGGGACCCCGGAAAGCCGGACCTCGCCGAGTGTCAGTCCCTTGTAAGGCGGGCAACTCGGACGAGATGCGGCCGCACGGCCCCGCCTGCCCACCGAGGCGAGGGCCCGCGGATCGGGGCGCTGAGCCGGACTGAACATGAAGCGTCCCATCCACTTCTCCGCGTTTGGGCTGCAGCTGCAGGGGTGGCGCAGCTGGCCCAACCTAACAGCTTCTCCTCCAAATCTGGATTCTTCCATGCAGTTTTGCCAAAAACTTTTGGCATTCTAGACCCTGGAGCCTACATCAGCTGGAATTAAATTCCCTTCTGCGGGTGGAAAGCAGGATGAAGGTCTCACTGGCCTGAGGAAAGAGGCGGACCGAGCGCCAGAAAACGAACCGGAGGAGAAGAGCCGTGTCTGCCTGGGAGCTGCGCCCTGGGTGCCTGGGGCAGGGCCTGGCTTTGATCGACACACGGAAGGACGACGCGTACAGGGTCGCGACATTAACTCCGTTCTTGAGTTGCTGCTGCCTCACGGGCTGCTGGGCCAGCACAGACGGCCGTGTCAAGCGGGCGAGAGCGCAGACGCCGGTCACCAGGAGCCGAGGGGAGGACGGCGGCCGTATTGGCGGAGACAGACCGCTTCGAGCTGACGGCTGTTTCTGTACCTCAGCTCCACATCCGCATCAGAGTAAGAAGCAAGGGGCCGTCCCACAGCGGCCCTGTTAAGCGCCACCCTGAGAAGCGGGTGGTCCCGGTGGCTTTGGAGGCGAGTTGCAGACTTCGGGGCTGCCCGAGCCGGGTGGCGTGGCCCACTGCTCACGTCCGAGCCTCTCAGCTGCGAGGGGCACAGGGAGCTGAAGTCATCATGGTAAGAAGTCACCCACGAGTGACCTGGAGTTTGAGGTGAAACGCTCTCCTCTGCCGGCCCTGTGCGACCCACATGCCCCCACACCGCAGCCTGTCGCCACCTCCACCGGGTTTGCTTTCTCGCGGATTGTAAAGCCGCAAATCGCATAGGCACACACACCACAAAAAGCACCGTCTTCGGGGAGATCACATTTGAGCAGATGCAGACCTTCGGGGGGATGACAGCAAGCTGGCCGCTCCCCAGTGCCATGCACCAGCAGAGGTGGGGCCGCTCTGCACGAGGCGGGCAGGGGTGTAGTGCGGAGCGCCAGGGCGTGAACGGGACTGAAGTTCCGGGGGGAGACTGCCCCCCACATGTTTGACTGAAGCTGCTGGTCTCTCAAGGACCCCGGGTTTGCCACCTGCCCGGAGGGGTGCCACAGTGCTAGGGAGCCTGCCATCCCCGCCGGCGCCCCAGCCCAGCAGTAAGGAGCCACCCGCCCCGCAAGCCCACTCAACCCCTGTGCACTCACCCCAAGCCTCGGGGCACCCCAGGGGCCAGCTCACCCCCAGCAAGGTGAACCCTCCGGCGCCCGCTCCAGGGAGCATGAGAGTGTGTCTGGATGTCAAGGCCAAAAGAGAAGGAATTTGAAGTCACGACTTACCCGTGACCCCGGGTTCCCTGGGGGCCCCATGAAGCCAGGAACTCCAGGATGACCCTAAGGAGAGAGGCAATTCAGGAAAACGTTACACTTTGGGGGACTACCAGCAGCCATCTAGACCCTGCCCTAACCTCCGCAAGTTTGGATAACACCGACCACGGAAAGACGCTTCTCATGTAACAGTGGGAGTCAGCGCACTGAGAAAGCATTGGCAACAGTTCCGAAATGAACCTTTCCCACAAGGGGGTGTGCTCCGCACCGAAGGAGCCTTTCCCACAAGGGGGTGTGCCCCGCACCGAAAGAGCCTTTCCCACAAGGGGGTGTGCTCCACATGAGGCCAGAAGCTGCGGGGAGGGGGGGGGTGTGGCAGGCTGCGGGCGCGTGGAAGCTCTGTTCGGCTCCGACCTGTTTGAAGGGCCCATGATAAAGGCTTCAAGATGCATGAGAAGCCCCACAAGGTCTGGAGAGCCTGACTGGGCGCGGCCCGACTGCAAGGCACGCCTGGCTATTTGGGGGGTCCCTCTCTGTCGCCTGCCGCGGAGTGAAGCGCAGCGCCCCGACACTTGGCATGGCAAGACAATCCTATAAAACCAGCCCAGGCCTGGACGGGACGCGCCTCCGCCCAGTGCGGGGCGCCCCACAGTGCCTCCTCCTGAGAACCCAGCACTGCTCGCTCTTCCACACTCGGGTGGGATTTTCACAGACCCTGTCCTGCAGACCTGGGGCGAGTCCTCAGCGCCCGCTGTGCGGGGCCGGCCCAGGATGGCGCACGAGAGTAGACTAGGGGTGCACGGAGGGCAGAGGCACTGGGAGGCGCGTGGGGATGGGAAGGGGGGTTGAGAGGGGGCAGGAGGGAGCGGGCTGTGGAGCAGAAGCACAGGGCCAGCTCGAGGGCAGGAGGTGAGTGAGGGTCAGCTGGCAGTCCTGACAGGAGGTGGAGGGAGTGACCAGGTCACCAGAAGAGGCCAGGACACTGCAGGAGAGAGGGCCTGCTCAGCTGGGCAGACACTGAGAGACCGGGGCATCTTTAAAATAGGTGACCACAGGAGGTGGGGAGGAGGG